AAAACATGCCTAGAGCAAGGAAGTCTGACATCTGAGAGCTGGGATGTTTTCATTTTGGGTAGAAGCTCTGACCCACTATTTACACCCCTATCCCAATCTCTCCCACATCTCTTTAAATGACTACTTTCCAGATGTTATCTGCGTGGAGACTAGCCAGATTTATGGGCAGGATCCTGCTCAACTCTACGCCAAACTAGTTTTTGGCCTCACTGGAAATAGGATTATGTCTGAGACTTGCAAGAGGAAAAAAAAAAACTTCTTTCTTGCCAGAAATGGTCATGCAGACTTTTTACAATGCTGTTTATTTTTTTGTTAGTACTACTGTAGAATATCAGGCTATTCAGTGCTAGCATAATAGCACTTAAGCAGACTGGTAGAATAGACTACACATGGCTGTAGCCCATAGTGAAACTGCACGCAAATGAAAAGAGGCAGCCAGTTCACTCGTAGCCCCAGCACGGTGCAGTTTTCCAGTTCTAACAAGTGTTTGTACAAGGTAAGGTCAATAACGCATTCTGCATGAGTTGTGCAAATGTTGTTTCCAACTCTGAAGAGGAGTTAAAAATTTAGGAAATTTTTAAGATTTATTACTGTTAAATACACAGTCTGATGTTATATTTGTGCACTGCCCATCACACTCAATAAAAACAGTTTCCAAAATGAAATTTGGAGGGTAAGTGCTGTATTTCCCTTGCCAGCGTACTTTTCTTCTCCCACTTACTTAACACAAAATAGGCAGAAATAAAATCTTTATAAGACTTTCTGTATTCGAATGTATCACCACTTTAATTTCCTCCTAGTTTCTTCAAATACTCACTTCCATGACTTTAAAACTGTTCAAAATGAGACAATTTTACCTTTTTGTTTCTATAAGGAATCTTATAGTAAAGATGGTAGCATGCATATTTATATATAATAATATACATTTACAATATAATTCCATATATCGGTGTAGCCTCTAAAAAGCTGACCTTTTAGTTTTAAGACTAATCTGAAGTATTCTGCTATAGCTATTACATACATTATAAAGAAAGAAGAAAAAAAAAGAATAAAAGTATTTAAGAAAAGTTGTACGCAGAATGGAAAATGAACGTGAAAAATAAATGCTGTGAGGTATCCTTTTGATGAAGACAGGTGACAGGTAAGATTTCCATGGTTGTATCACACTGGATCTTGAAAGATAGATTGCCCAGTGTTTTAAAGATCTGGAGCAAGACACATTTTTGTGGTCTGTTTCCCTTTCTGAAGCAGGCATCAAAAGTCTTCGTAAAACAAACAAACAAATGGTAAAAAAAGGCTTAACGCACCGAGAACGAGAAATACCATGTTTTCAAAATGGCATCCCCATAACCTAGGCAACTCATCTTAAAGTCTTCATCCCAAAAAGCAGCTGTGTATTAGAATAAAGTTAGGCGTAGACAACCTCTAGTAATACAGTCATCAAGAAAGGAAAAAAAAAAAAATCTTGTTTTTCAAATCATTTTGAATAGCACAACTTTTTTGCTTTTGAAAGTGCTTTTTGAGCAGTCACAGCAATGTAAAACAAGGTGGGCATATACAACATTCATGCTATGCACATACAACCCTGCAAACTGCATTATGAACCCTGTGAACACATTAAGCATGAAATCAACGTGTGAATAAGACTGATTTTTGCAGCAATAACAATGATATTACAACCAACTGAAAGGAACTGCTTTAGCATGAGGAGTTGGACTCTATGATCCCCAGAAGTCCCTTCCAACCCTCACGGTTCTGTGATTCTGCTACTGAGCAAAAATTATCTGAGCCCCTAACAGCTCCAGTAATGTATTTTCTAGCCAGAAATGCTTTCATGCAAAAGATAATAGTAAGGGTTGTTATTTTTTAAGAAACATCTTTTTTTTTTTTTCCTATTTAACATAATTTTCACAAAAGCAGCAAACTAAAGGGAAACAAGAAAGTGCAAACAATCAGCCAAATCACCGACCAGAGAAATGTTTTCAGCTTTAAAGTGAGAAATGCACGCAAAAATGTTTTAGAACTTTTTAACCAGCGTCTGTTTCTAAACCTCTATCCAGGCAGCTCACACTCCCACCTGCCTGGGCTGCTGGCATTGCCCCTTCCATAGAGTGGTGTTCCTGGGGTGCTATGGGAAGCGCGGTCAGTTGGCATGCTGCACCCATGGAATGCAGAGCAGCAGTGCTACGCGACAGTTTTCAAGTTTCGAGCCAATATTTTTCACCACTCCCAGATGACACGAGGAGCATAAACACAGCCTTGTGAACCATCACACACGCTGGGGCTACAGCCAACGCGGGCAAACAAGCGCAGAGGGGCACTGTCTGTCCTTTTTTAAGCACAATGGCTGTGTTCGCATTCAGCAGGCAAGCTCGAGCCTGCGTTATCCGAAGTTCTCACTCTAAAAGTAGTCTGCAATCGCATACCAGACTGTTACAAAACAAAACCAAACCAAAACACCTCTCTGTCTGCGGAGATCTCAGTGCGTACAGGCACAACCAGGGCTACACAGCTGGCTGCAGGGCTCTGCTCTCCTGGGCCAGAGCAATCCCTCAGTAACACTTCTGCAACAGTGGTGCAAGGATCAGTGAACAGTCAACGCCCTGGAAGTACTGCCTGCGTCAAACTGGGCTGTGCACCAGCAGTGCGTGCTGCAAATCGAATGCGTCTATGTTAGCAACCAGATCGGCCCAACAGGAACACATGGAATATAAGTGTGGGAGACTTTGTACCAATGCTAAATGCATTTTGTAGGGTTTTACTTCAGGCTAGCACTGGTCTGGTCCCACGGATGGAATTTCCAACAGTGACTCAAGACTCTAGCACATCTTCCAGTTTAGATTCATCCTAAAAGAATCCAGCTGGCCCACCATGAGGTATACGGAGATGGACAGTAAGTGGGAACAACTGGGAGACTGGCGTCAAAGAGCCCTCCTGATAGGAACCACAACCCTAATATAAATGCACAGCCACGCCTATCAGCATCTGGGAGAGCGAAGGGAAAGAACTCAGTGTGCAGCACTTGAGAGGCTCTTCGGGTGTCAGGAAATCTGCACAGTGACTTCAACAACTCAGCTTGACTGCTCTACATGCAGCGCCGCTAAATTTACATTGAAACCGTTCTAACGCAAGCATCCAGTGATGGTACATTGGGATTTGCCTTCTACCACGTTTATCAAGAAAATCACAGCGGGACAAAGCTATTTGTTACAAAAGGGATTGGTCTGCATCTCCTTGATTTACACTCACATAAGCATTGACAAACAATGACCGAAACCCATCAGTTTCCAAAGGACAGGGTATACCTGCGTAGTTCAGCTGGCAACTCAGACTGTTTTTTGCCATCACCTGATACTGTGGAAAGAAACAAAATTCCCCTCAGATTAATTCTTCACCTTCCCACACCTTCATTCTATTCCACACTGTAGGAATGTCTCATGACAGCACAGTCTATTCAAAAGACAAACAAAAAGCAAATAGATCAGCTAGACCAGCCGCTCAACATCCAGAGATAGAGGTGTTTATTTTGGTGCCACCCTTTCAGAGCCCCTCTGATGCTGCTCACTGGCCTTATACCACTCCTGGTCCTACCCAGATGCTGAGCAGCCCTCACTGCTATGGGCACGCTTCCTTCCAGCACAGAGCTCTGTGTATGCTCAGGAGGTGCAAAAAGCAAAACACCACAGCCAGATTGTCCCTCCTTCCACAACACACTGAGCAAACAGGTCCACCCTCTGCAGCTTTACAGTGATCACACACAGCTCTTCAGAATTTTGGACTTCACTTCTTGGATGATGGCAGTGCATTGCAGGCTGTGCGACTAAAGTGAGGAAAGGTCCCTTGCTCAGAGCCTGCACACCAAGACAGAACACTGATTCTTGGCAGAAACCAGACTGCCTCTATTACATTATTTTGTCAAGGCTCTGCTTTCTAATCCTAGAATATTAACGTTCCTCCTTAGCATTTGGAAAGGCCAATCTGAAAGTTATGCACCAAAGTTACAAGTGAAGCATCTGCATCAGAAAATCTCTCAGGCATGTATTTCAGGTGACAACAACAGATTTATCTCCTGAGGAGCAGTATCTGCATTACATCTGTGCTGGTGGGCAGCAAGGACTCAGTGGTCACACTCATTTCTCTCTGCTTTAGCACAAAGCAGCCCAGAAGCAGCCTGAGCACCGGCATGACCCAGGGTTGTGGGCAGGCAACTCCTGCACCTGTTGCCTGGGGACTCCTGCAGGATCCTGGCCTGGGGTTGTCCTTGGGGGGTGTCTGCCTCAGTCACTGCTAAGACTGATGCCCACCTGATGGCACTCATTGGGCTCTCATCCAATTTATTTCACTTCTTTTGCAAAAGGAGAGGTTAGCCTTGTTACGGACTGTTAATTTCATCCTCAAAAACTCCACCAAAAGTTATATAATCCCTTTCACAATAGTGTGCTAAAAATAAGAGTCGTTCAGCCAAATGCCAGTGCAATTTTTTTATGGGACCTGTGACTCCAATTCTGCAAGACCTGCAAAGCGCTTATTTCCTTAGCTTTTGCAGAAGGTCAAGCGTGGTACGATGATAATTGTCATCTGCAGGATGAGAAAGTGGCTGCACACACACCCTCCCATATATTTCCAACTCCTGACTTAAAGCAATGCTGGATCAGTTCCCCCGGGGGGGGTTTCATAATCGCAAGCCATCATTTAACCCAAAGCAAAGAAAGAAAGGTACAAAGGGGCACAGCTCTCACGGACGCACGCGCTGCCACACTCCCGGCCCGGGGGGCTCCGGCCCTGCAGGTACCTGGGGCAGTCAAGGGAGCCGCCTCTCGGGTTGCTGTGCGCGGAGCCGCCCCGCGGGCGGGCAGCTCCCTCCGGGACGCGGCACTACCGCCGCCACCGCCGCGCGGGGACGCGCTGTCAGCTCGCGGGGCCCTGCGCCCTGCCCTACAGCCGGCACAAGGAGAGGAGGGGAGGAGGGAAGCGAGCGGCCGCCAACGGTCACCCCGTACCTGCGGTGAGGCGAGGAAGGGTCCGCAGCGCGCTCCGTCCTGCCGGCTATAGGTCCAAAGGCGGGGTGGAGCGGGGTCGCGGTCCTCGCCCGCTGGCGGTGGTGCGAAGCCCTCGCTCGCTGCAGATGCCCATAGGCGCCCGGTGAGAGAGCGCGGTGCCGGGAGAGAGCGAGGCGGCTCGGCCGGGTCCCGGCTGCGGAGGGGAGCTCGGCACTGACTCCTCTCAGCCGCTGCCCGAGAAGAGGATCAAGCCCCAGCTTTCGATTGGCTCCGGTGGCCAAACAGCTCGCACCAGCCTCCTGCCCGCCCGCCCGCCGCCCGCCTCCCCGCGCCGCAGCCGCACACGCTCAGCTCCCGCCGCTCCTCTCCCGCTGCCGGGCGCAGCCCCGACCTTCTCACCCCCTTCGCCCCAACAGGACGCCTTGTCCCGGGGCTGTTGTTCAGGCGAGGATGTTCTCGCGTCCCGGGTCCGACAGAAAACACTCGTTCCCTCCGTTGGCTGAAGGACCTGAAGCTTTAAGCGTTTGTGACACTCTGTGTCACGCTCAATATTCAGCCACGTTTGTTCTCAGAACGTTTTCTCAAATATCCCCGGCTAGCCAAATTAAAAGCATGCAGAGCCTGATCACCTGAGGGCTGAATCGGATGTAGGACAAAGCATTCTTTGCCTCAGTTCAGTTTGCTTTTCGTATGCTGTTTAGGTTCCTTGCCCTTTTCTTGGTTAGATCCACATCAACTCACGGTGTGCACAGCAAATAGAACCAGGATGCTCAGCCTCCTCTTCCCACATCTACAGTTATTAAATCACAACAACTCTGACTGTCATTTCTTGGTGCATTTGGGCTGCTGGTGTTCTGTTTGCTTGGGCTGACTTCAGTTGCCTCTAAAAAAGAAGTTTTTCTCCCACAGACATGCGGCTGTGTGAAGCCAAATCTCAGACCTGTCTTCTGGGGGAAACGGCAGTCTTTTGGTTGTAGTGTGACCCTCTGTTTAAACAAAAAGACGGCTCAACGGGATAAATGGGCCCTTTGGGTTTTCTCGGCACAGGAAGATGTTGTAATCTTTCCAGTAAACGTGTTGGCAAAATTGCTTATTAAAAATCAGGGAGAACAAAATGATCAGTTATAACAGATGTGCTCGTAATTAATGTAATGACCTGCATCTGAGAGGTGCTGTTAAGTAGTGTTGATATATCAGGTGCCCTCAAAAGTCAGCATTTATCCACGTTTAGTGCTATGGCATTTAAAACATAGAGGATGGAGTTGCTGAGATACTCCTGCACTGCGGCATATATATGTTTTTAAATGGTCATTTTCTGAACATTTCAAATTGATTCTGTGGATTTGGGATATTTTTTGGTTGCTTGCTTTGGGGTGTTTTGTTTCCTTTTTTCATAAGGCTGGATCCTATTTCTCCCTCTCTAGAAAAAGTGCGCATGCAGATCTAGTTAACAAAATGTTTTTTGTTTTTTCAGGCAAAAGTCAGAAAAATAATAACAGAAATATTGAGAAATATATGAAAACAAAGATATGTAGAAATATCTGTACTTGCGGTATAGTCATTCCTTATGTTACCAGCTCTGGTAGTGGAAAAACCCCTCAGTGAATTCAGTGGATCTATACCTCTGGTACATGAGAGTAACTAAATAAATAAATACATTTAATGTTTCTTTATTATTATATGTGCTTCCTTCACATATTTCCTATTTATTTTTTGCCTGAGGTAAATGAAATCTCTGGCTTAGAGACCACGTACCTACGCATGGCCCAGCAGGTTCAGCCCCAGCTGCCACAGCAGCTCCCTGACCCCAGTGACACCTCCACAGCAGGCACGTTTCTTCCTGCATCTTCTTGACCCGTTCTCCTGGCTTATTTTCCATCAGAATTTCCCATGTCAAAAAGTGATTCCTACTTTCACAGTCTCTTTCCTTGGAAGAGTCCTATGTGTCTTCATACAGTATTATACTTCTAGAATTGCTGCTTCCCACAGCCCATTCTCAACTTTGCATTCATCTCCTTTTTCAGTTCAGATTCCTTTGCAGCACTGATTAGGTTTCCCTCCAGTCTTGTTCAATTTAATAGCTTTTAACCTGTCTGTTTTATTTATGTCTGCTTAAGTGCTTATTTAATCTTTTCCTTTATAACTATAATGACCTTCCACAGGTTACTATAATCCTAGAAGGTATGTGGGGAATTTAAAGATTTAAAAGTCGTTTGACTTCATAAATAATTTTTATTTTCTCATTATGTGCCTTATTTCTAAAACAGGGATTTTTTTATTACAATCAGTGTTTGTTTCTCACAAATATTCCTTCTGCATATCTTGTAGTAGGGCTCGGTGAGAAATTCTGGTTCCAAAACAGCTTTATTTATTTATTTTTTATATACATACAATTTGCTAACGGGACTTACAAGAGGTGTTGATCTGTCATTGGAAATATGTAACACATTTGTTCTCTGCCACAATTTTATGCTATAACTTCATGCTGTAAGAAGTATTTTAGTTTATGTGCAGGTTTAATTTTTTAAAGTGTTGGTATTACTGCATCTTTCCTACAGTCTGATGTTTGTTCCATGCCCTGCTTAAGCAAATTAACCGAACTTTTAACAGCCCCTGCCAATTACAGATGCTGTTGAAGTACATACCTTTTTATTCTATGTATTTCTGGATGGTCTTTCCTTCTGATGTGGCCATTCTTCAGGAATGGCTATTATCCATATCTTTGGTCTCATGTTGAGACAGAACACAAGCAACCAGTGCCCATCTCCTTCACAGCAAGGGCTAATACCTCTGTCACCATCATGATAGAAACACTGTTCTGCTTTGCAGCCCTGAGCACTGTGATCTGTGACAGTGTCTGGCCAGAGCACCTGGAGAAATAGTAGCAGTGTCCCAGGGCCATGGGAGTCCTGGGAAGTGGGGCAGCCCATCACACCCCAACCTCCTCCTGTCCCCAGGTAAGATTCACAGTTTCTTGAGATGGAAGAGAAGCCTGCGTGCTCTGTTAACGTCATTACACCCATTTTCCCTGCGCTGACTGGATAACTTTGTTATATGCTAGAGGTTCAGCACATGCCATCCTTTCTCAGACCCTGCAGCCAAGCACTGTAGCCAGGAACTGGGAGGTCAGTATCCTGGGAAGCCTGACTACCTGAGATTGGTATGTTGCTGATTTGGCCACAGGAGACCTCACTAACTGCTTTCATTGCCTGGTGTCCCATTTGGTTCTGAAGAAGCTTCTTGACTAACCTGCTTTATCTTTTTGTAGTCTTAGCTCATCTTTGTCTAAGACCTTTACCTTTTACTGCAAGCTCTTTCATTTCCTGACCTTGCTTTTGAATTGCTCGTTGGTTTGGAGTAGCCCTGATTTCTGCATTTTTCTGAGTACACTTTCCATCTGGAATCTTGGGCTGGTCTGTCCTTGGTGACTGACTCCTGATCTTGAGTTTCCTCAGGCTCAGTGACTGGTCCCACCCCAGCTACAGTCACCACATGAAAGTATTCCCACTTGTGGCTCCTTAACAGCACCCACTTATATCCACCTTACTAAATGGAAATGATATTGCGTGATATCACAGTACTGACGCAGAGAGTTTGGCTCATATCTTATCTGCATGATAATTCAGCACCTCTGTAAGAGACTGTAGCAGCGCTATTGGGTAAAGGTTTAGGAGAATCTATGAGAGCACATGAGAATGTCATGTCCCCTTAGGATAAATCACACTTGTCAAGATCTTCAACAGCTCATACTGTTTTCATAGACAATTAGGCACCTAAATGCCTGTGGACATAGTGCACCTGTTTTTTAATTTGGAGTTCTTTCTGACATTGTGGATTCAAGCCAGGAAAGCACTCTAAGCAGCAGTAATTTGAATTTTTTTTTTTTTTTCCTTTTTCCCCAGTACTTTATCTCTGCTGTGTAAAACAACTCTAAAATACATATCTAGCTGAGTCAGTGCAGTATCCTATCACTGGACATGAGTAAATACTTCACCCAACCACCAATAATGAAATTCCTTGAAGTGAATAAAACTATTTTTGTCAAAAATGCCTTATTTGTATTTCACAGCAAACATGAATGAAATGTTCACAGTATAGCCTGATTCCAGCTTCAAACAAAAATTACTCTGTGTACTCTTTGGAAGGAAAAGAAAGAGCTAACACATTTCACTACCTTTATCTTCTACCACTTCATTTCCAGCAAAATTTCATTCAAGTCAAATTCCATCCAGATGCCCAGAGCCTGCCTCTATGCTCCAGGAACTTGTGCTTTGGGTAGCACATCTCTGGCTATTCTTCAGAAGCTCACATATTCAGTTTACCAAATAATTAATAATTTTTAAAGAGTCCTAGCAGAGGCCTAAAATAAATAAAATTTTCTTTGACCAGAATGTTTTCCAGCATGGGGGTGATTTCTTCTTACCCCAGTGAAGGCTTAATGATACATGCTACCAAATTGTTTTTGGAAGATCATGGTAGGAAATGGAGTAACAAGTGAGGAACAGAAAAAAATCTAAGGGGATGAAGAGTTGTGAGAAGTCAATACTGTCATTCTATTTTTAGACAGAATGGGTCTGTAAACATTCACTGTTCTTTTCCTTTAATGTGCTCAAGGTAGACCAAAATATACTTCTCATCACTAATTTTAAAGCTGTGATTTCTTAAGTCATGAAAATTTTACAAAACCTTTGATGTCGCAGAGTCTGAGAGCCCTGAGCCACCCACAACCCTTTGAAAATTGCTCACTGAAAGCAGTGATCTCATGTGTCTGAGCATTCTGAGTGTATGGACTTAAGTTTTCTGTCTCACAGTCTAAGACTTAGACCAGGATTTTTGCTTGGATGTACCTTCAGAGTCATCCCTCATCTCCAGACTAACCTTAGACACTCATTTTTTAACCTGTTTTGATGATGCTCTTTCTGTTTAAGAGAAGATGATTCTGCCTAAATCCCAGAGGAGGTGAATGAATGAGGGGACTTATTCACTCCATCTCTGTTTTCTCTAATTGGATGGAGAGAGTGTCAAGCCAAGGAAGAGAGAGAAGCGGCACAGCGCAGAAATACATTTGGGATGAGTTCTCCTCCTTCTTCACAGTCATAAGAGACTGTGAGGACATCTGGATCTCTTGGGAACATAACTAAATAGGACCAGATAACCTCAAAATATTAGAGCCAGACCAGCTCTGTCATGTATGATTCTCTTGCTGTATAACGACTAATAAAGGCAGTATGTGTGGAACCAGGAAAGCAGCCAATATAGCTTCTTCCAAGAACTGTGAGTAATTAACTGGGTCCCTGCTTAATTTCTTTCATGAAAATGTGTTGAGTGAGATTCTTACAAGTGGTGCTCTTTGTGTGACGTCTCACTCTACTCCTAAATAGAACAAGTTCATGCAATTAGAAAGGAAGGAAAAGTAAAACATGAAGCTTAAAAATCCTGGGGATATTTTTTTCTACAGAAGTATCAGCTTACATTTCCTTGTTACTCCTTAGTTCTTAATCTCCTGATGGTTTTTCTCTCAAAACTTGTTCTATAATCCAGATATACACTGAATCCCTGTATAACACACTGCAGCGTCTTGCTTTAGTCTGAGGGTTTCCGTTTTCAGGTGTTTCAGAGGAAACATTCTGTAAAACTTCCCTAAGATGGAAGAAACCCTATTAGTTGCAGAACGTCAAAAAGGAGGAAAAACTCACACAAGGTGCCACGTTGTCCTTCTTTGTGAATCCTCCATCACAGCAAGGAAGAAGAAGAAAAGACAGCTGTTATTCCAACCTGCTATATCACTGTTGCACCTCGTTAAGAAAGCTCGAGTTCTTTCACTCTGCGTGCTTATGGCTTTCCTGCAACTGCTCTGGAGGAAGCCTATAGCTATCCACTACTGAGAACATGCCTCCTTCAAACTTGAGCATTTTTTTCTTGCTACTACAGAGTTAGCAGGCTGTGAGAGATGTTCAGTGTTACACAAAGCAAACAGAGCTTCCCCCTCTCACACCAAACGCAGCAAAGGATCCTCCAAACAAACAAATTAAGTGATGGATTGCTCAT